CAGCCCTCCTTTCTTTTAACGGGACAATATAAAAATAAACAAACGGAGCGACAATGGTATCTATCGTGTCCTAGATTGTAGCCAAAATGTTTACGTCACATAGAGAATCACATATTTTCATCAATAACTTTAAAACACGAATTAGGTTTATCTAGATATTTTGTGCCTTTAGGTAACATTCGTGCTATTGATAGAATAAACCAGACTAGTAGTGAATAGGTCTTTACTTAGATCTTCGCGCAGTCACAGTGGAGCGTGAGACTACCTGTCCAGACAAACAAAGCCTTTCAACATTCACTGTGAGATAATAGTAAATATAACGCTTATACAAAATAAGGAAGTAACTGAATACTTGAACTATACTGTTTTGACATATGTGTAGTGGCATTGGACCATAACCATACAATCCTCAAAGCTCAATACAAGTGTACTCGGATTATGGATATTCAATATTTAACGCGGAGAAATAACCTAACGATGGAGAATGCGGGAAGAATGTATTGAATGAATTGGAGTTGATCGAACGGCATGGGTCGGCATGCAGGTGTGGTCCCTGCTGAATGTTACCTTATATCTTCTGTTCATATTAAATATATTGTTCTTTCTCTAGCCTAACCTTGTTCTATATCATGTATTGGTAATTAGTACGATACAGTGAGTTGGTGTAATCGATGGTGTGACTTCCATGTAAGATCTTATAGATTAGGCAGTCATATCATGACAAATCTACAAATTTAGGATTAGGCCTATTATTAGAGCAGTACTAATATCATAGTAGACCATAATTCTACATATATTTGGTTGTTTTAGGTCAACTCTTAACCAATCAACCTAAATTGTTACATTAGTTTCCCTCTAGAATCGACTTCCTTAAGAAAGTCGGTCCGATTAACCTATTTATCAAAAACATCTAAGTTGTATTTCCGCAGCCCAAAAGTGAATTATCAACTCGCTCACTGTTTAACTCCCAATCAATGACGACCAACTCCATCAGCAATCAACGATAGTCTTTTCATTTGCTAGCCTGTCAGCTCATTTTGTAACATGTAATTACTTCTACAACTTTCGCTGACGGTCTTCTACGTGCTAACAAGAGAAGAAGTGTGAGAAAATGAAACAGGAATAACAGAGGAAGTTCCGCGAGCAGGCTACTCAACACCATTTTGGTGAGGTAAGATCTTTCCATGCTCAGGTGTTTACTCACCAGACTCTTGAGTCGCCCTGAAGTAAAAAATAAAGAAGAATCTACTTCAAAGGTAATGATGAAAACCAATAGTTAAAAGAAATTTAACAAGGGCACTAAATCTAACCATATGCCGAAAACTAACTCACTCAAATCGTCATATCAACCTCGTTTAGCGCATCTTAAATGTCGTTAGATTCTTATCAAAATCTTGTAGGCTGAAAATGAGATAACTCGGAAAATAAACTTTCAACATGTAACACAAGATTCTGTCAATAATAGTAAACGCAGAAACATTCATTCGGAATTCAATTCCGCGCATGACACGGCTCAGCCTTGCACTTGCAAGTGTTCTTTCCAGTTTTATTCATCGTTTTTATTCCCGTCTAAATTCTAGACGGAAAAATATATTTGGCCTTCCACTTTTTCGTTTCTCTTCAGGATTCTAAGTTATGGCTTTCCTCGTGATGCAGTCTGGTGATTTCCGTAATGTAGGTCGTATCCACTTCCAACGTCGTTTCCTTATTTCCTCTTCAGCTGGAGTCTGGTTTGTTGTTTCCCACAGTAGGCTGTCGGTGATAGTTTCCGGTAGACTAATACTGAGTATGTTGCGTAGACAATTGTTTAGAAGTATTTATACGTTATTGGTAATGGTTGTAGTTCTCCAAGTTTCAGCTCCGTACAGTAAAACTCTCTTTACGTTCGTATTGAAAATTCTGACCTTGATTGTGGCTGACAGTTGTTTTGAGTTCAATATATCCTTCAATCTTAGTAAAGATGTCCTTGCTTTGTCTGTCCTTGCCTTTACGTCTGCATCAAATCTTCCATCTTCATTGATGATGCTAACCAGGTACGTGAAAGTTTCAACTTCTTTCAGCGCTTGCACATTATTTGTGATTGGGTTGGTGTTCGTTGTTTGTATTTAGGGATCTTGCATTTCCCCTTGTGTATGTCGAGGCTTACTGATGCAGAGGCTGTTGCTACTCTAGTTGTCTTTACCTGCATTTATTCGTGTGTATGAGATAGAAGGGCCGGATTATCTGCGAATTTCAAATTTTTTAATTGATCTAGAGCTGTTCATCGTACTCCGTGCTTCCCCTCAGATATCGAGGTCTTCATAATTCAGTCGACCATCAGAAGAAGGAGGAGAGTAAGCAGCCTTGTCTGACTCCGGTCCTCATTTGGATTTCATCTGTCAGCTGTCTCCCATGCACCACTTTGCACTGTAGTTCGTAGTAGGAATTCCATATGATGTCGACGATCCCTCAGGCTCTCCATAGTATCGAAGAAAATTCCGTAAGGTCCTCCTATCCACACTGGCAAATGCCTTCTCATAGTCGAGGAAGTTGATGTATAGTGACGAGTTCCACTCAACTGATTGTTCAACGATAATCCGTAGTGTTGGTCTGAGTATGACCGACCCTTACGGAATCTAGCTTGTTGATCTCGAAGTCGGGCATCTATTGGGTTTTTCATTCGGTTCAGCAACAGTGTTGAAAACGTTTCCTGGTATTGACAGTAGTGTGGTGCCTCTGCAGTTCTCACACTTACCCAGATCTCAGTTCCTTTGTATCTCGATAAAGTATCCTTTCCAATCCGTCGGCAATTGTTCTTCCTCTTAAATCTCCCTGAATAGAATATGGGGCATGTTTGCAGTTACTTCAATACCTGACTTCAGAGCTTAAACTGGTATATTGTCAGATCCTGCTGCTTTCCCGTTTCTTTTGTTTGATGGCCACCCTAATTTCTTCGATCGTTGGTGGAGTGACATCTACGGAAAGGTTTGTAGGTGCTACTTCGATGTTCAGTGAATTCAATGGAGAAGGTTTATACAAGGGTTCCTCGAAGTATTCGACCCATCTGTTCCTCTGTCCTTAAACCTCGGTGATTGTCTTGCCTTCTTTGTCTTTCTGGTTTACTGAAATTCCTTGCTGGATTCGTCGTGTCATGTAGCTTTCTCATATTTTCTTCTCTTGAGGCTTTTTCCTCTGTCGTCGCTAGCTTTACAACGTATTTCTGCTTGTCAACTCTAATGTTCTCCACTCGTTTTTATGCTTTTTTAAATTTGGTCCGTGCATCGGCTTTCTCTGCTACTGTTCGACCATTGTTAATTACTGTCCTCTTGTTCTTCCTTTCTTGAACCTTTTCTAGGGTTTCTATCGAGATCCATTCCTTATGGTGATGCTTGTTGAGGCCCATCACCTCCTGACACGTCGAAGTTAATGCTTCTTCAATCCCCTTCTAATTGTCCTCCTTAGTAGTTTCTTTCTCTTCCAGTAGATCCTGTAAGGCTTGGAACCTGTTGTTGAGAGTTATCTTGACTTTGTCCAGTTTGTTAGTATCTAGAAGCAAGGCTGTATTGAGCGTTCATAATACTGTTTCCCCAGCTATCCAGTGTTTCTTTGGCTTCAGTTTCTTTCTGGACACAACCAGGTGTTGATCTAAAGCTATGCCAGTTCCTTCCCTAGTTTTCACGTCTCCCATTGTCCTTCGGAATTTTTATTGATGCAAATATGATCTATCTAGTTTTCTGTGGTGTGATCCTGTGAGACCCATGTAGCTTTACGTATGCGTTTGTGTGGTAATAATGTACCACCTGTAACCAAGTTGTTGAATGGACATTGGTTTGCAAATCTCTCGCCATTTCCGTTTGTTTCTCTCAGTCCATGTAGTCTCATGGTATCCTCATATCCGGTGTTGTTCATTCCGACGTTGACGTTTTGGTCATTCATCAGTATGGCAAGTTTCTTCCCTGAGCACTTCGCTGTGATTGATTGCAGCCTCTCATATAACTGATTCTTATTGTCATCGTTTTTACGATTGGTGGGTGCAAACATTGGATAATATTCATTGTGATCCCCTCATTCGTTGTTTTGAATGATGCTCTGATGATTTTGGATCCGTGATATTCCCAACCTACAAGTCCATCTCGTGCTTCTTTGAACAGCATTAGAGCATTATCCTCTTCGTGACTGGAGTACAGTAGAATCTCTTCCGTATATAGCCTTTGCTGTCCAGCTTGAGTTCAATAGGTTTCGCTGATTCCAAGTACTGCCAATTTGTTTCTCCTCACTTCCGTTGTTATTTGACTGGTCTTCCCGGTCTCTCTCAGATTGTCCGGACGTTCTATGTACCTAGAAAAATTGTTGCTCTGGTTGTTAGAAGGGGCATCGGCCTCTTGAATTCCGAAAAATCTCAGATTTCATCCTTTATTATATTAAGCCCAGCACTGAGATATTTATTGCCCATGTAGTGTAGTTGTGCATCAAAACATTCTCAACGACAATAGAAATCCTCATGTTCCACCGAATTACGTTGTTTCATACGGTTGTGCTTTCTCTTAATTTCTATACGGTTTCGTTGAAGGTGTGTTAGTCCCCAATCAATAAAACATCTGTATCTGACGTCAGCTGATCATTCTAATTTGCATGACACTGTAACTTGGAGCGTACTGCGATGGAACATCGAAAAAGTACAAAAATCCAGTAGAATGACATGAAAACCTGAAGCCTATTCCATTGAAAGCGTCACACATAACGCGCCACAGCATAAAACAAAAATTAAGACAAGTGAGTATTACATATTAGTTTTCTGTGTTACAGAAAATGTTCCTTCAAATCGAGCTCTGACGCTTATTAAGTCCAAGAAACATTAAATAGATTTTCAGTGCATATTTGATCCTTCTAACATTCATCTAATATTTTCGGTTCTGATAATTAGAAAGCAAAAGCACATTGCGCATCCTTTACATAATCATATATCTGGAACTCTAGAAGCTCGAAGCAATTACATTATTTATTGGATATTGATCCTAGTATCTAAGTTACAGTTTGCCCCGCTTGTTGCGCTATATATCAGTTAAGTGAGTGTAATTTGTATAAAAACTGTTTGTCTCGTGTTTGGTCGCAAATCGAGAGACAAGGCTTATCCTGACTTGACGAAAAATTTATTCCTATTGTAAATTCAGTTGAGCAGGATTCACTTGACACCGATCGGCGTGTTCCTTAATATTTCCAGTGTTCAGCTTTTTATTTGTTAGTCGCAAAAATAGATCGTATGTAATATTCAACATGCAATAGAACACAATAATCCTCCCAACCCATGGTATTGCTTAGATTTGTTGTCATTTTCGAAGTAGTAACTGAGAGTGATTATACCATGTACTCCAGTAAATAGTTCGTATTTGATAGTTTGGTATGAAAAACTAACCTTAATATATTTACAGTGTATATGATTTGATCTTGGTTTTGGTCGTTATTAAGAGGAATGATAGCCCGGTCGACTGTGACAACCTCTTGAGCTTATTTTTCACTGAAGATCCGATTTCTCCTTAAAAGCGCCCACTGGTGAAACTGGTACCAGTCGCCGACCACTGGATGGGAAAATCGGAATCCCAACCAAAGCTTGTTTTTAGAACCTTATTGCGGTGGCCTTCAACATGATTGTTTTTTCAGAGAGTAGAAGGAAATAACTTGTTTCTGCACACTGAACACTCAGGTATGTTCACATCCGCAATATAACGTGAACTTTCGGCTTGGATGCGAAATTCAATGTAAGGTCTCCCGTGGGTGTAGCATAATACCTGAAGCATATCTTAGCCAAAACGGTTGAATGTTCAGCAAAACAACTATTACTCCCAAAAGTCTTTTAAAGCTGTTGAATAGTAGTGCGCAGTTGTTTCCAAGTCATAACTAACTATTACTCCCAGATCTTCTTGTTTCTGCACACGTGGAAGCTACTCACTGTCGATCCAATGCTGGTAACCATTGCCATGTCCAGTGTGGATAAGTGAACTATTTCCATTGTTCGTCTCGAAACCTAAAATTCGGAATCATTTAACTAATCCGTATAAATTTGTTAAGAGATTACGATTATCAGTCTCATTACGTGTTGTTCTCCAAACTTTGACACCATCTATCGACAACAATGTCGGTAGCTTGAGCAGTTTTGGTAATCCATTGACTCAGAGAAGAAATTGTGGACCTAAGATGTTAATTTGGTGTACACCACTTTTAAATGGTTTCGATACATATGATGTCTTAGCAACAGGATCGGTGAGAAAAGCTGAGGTATTTTAGGTTATCCTTGTATTTACAACCCTCTGAGCTCATTCCAATACGTACTTTTCACATTTCATACTAGAATTCCTCGCTTTACTTTTGTATTCTGAACGTGGTGGGGGACAAGATATAACAGGTATTCCTATCTGGTCTTCAAAATAGCTTTGAAAGGTCCCAAAAAAATCCGCAAATCTTAAGCAACTGCTGCTTTGTTATCACCCTTAAATTTGAGGTCACCGTTTACTGTGACTCGTAAATCCTTACAGTTACCAATGTTATATAAATGAATTTGATTTCTGATGTAATTATGCAAACGATGTGCATTACAGTACTTGTGCTATTACTTGCCCTCAACGACCACCAAATCGTCCACTCGTCCGGAGGGCTCATATAAACTTTTAACCCTTTTTTATCATTATTGTATTCCAAAACTCTCAGATGTAAGTTATTAATAGCTTGCCTCGATCTTCGAGTTTCATTTAGTATGGATTTCGGGTTATTGTAAAGAACACTGAGAGACAAAGTTATCTTCATAATTTTGTGGGTGTTGCTGCTTTAGATTTCTAAATCATTATAATGTTTCACTTAACGTGAGCGCATTCAATTTATTGTGCAGCAGTTTAAATTAATATCGGTTTGACTATTGCATATTACGGAACTTCACTTCGCTTGTAATAATATAATACTATTGTCAACGTGTCTGTTTTTCCATGCTGCAATATTCTATACAATGTCATAGAATATGGTTTTTCCTCTTCATTTTAATAAATTTGATAAGTTTTAAATAAGGCATTACTGAATATCATCTATCTTAATTGTAGCGTTGACATAATCATTAGTTTCATTTTTTGATGGTATTACTTCATTTGATGTACAATTTATGTTTGTCTGATGTATTCTGTTAATAAAATATTTTTACTATAAGAAGCATTCTTTCAGTTTTAACTTATTTATTAATAGTTGATCTGAGTTTTTAAACTATGTTCAGTTACATTGTTGATGTATTGTGCTACTTTGAAGAAATCTAAAATTCTAACAATGTATCATTAAAGTTTTCTGACTGCCGTGTATAAAATATTCACTGTTTGTCATATAATAGAGTGGTTACATGCATGTAAAATGTACAGTTGTTTGGCTGATCTTCTGGTTTGTCGTAATACATATACAAATCCCGTTAGTTAGTAAGCTTCAACGTAGGACGAGGCACATATATGCATCGGTCCGAATTATCACACCTCATTAGCACAAGATGAACACAAAATTCATAGAAGTGGTCACTTCACTTTTAGTTATGTATAAAAGTTTGTGAACAAGGATATAGTACAGGAAGAAAGAATCAGGTTGTAGGAATAAATGTATGAAGCAATTTTAATTTCACGGTTTACGGGAAGACAAAGATTGTATATACAAATCCCGACCAAAGTACAGTTAGTAAAAATATATCGAATGGCTTTAGGTACACTAACTGCAGCTATAGCTAAATGTACACTTAACGCAAAGAATTTAATGACTGTCGTTATTATCTGTCGCAAGGTTCCAATATTTTATTTGGGACATACCAAAAGTCTCTACAAACTTACAGGAACACTCATCTGAAGATTCCATGTTAAGGTTGAATTTGTGTTCTTATATATTTCCATTTTTCGATTGACATTTGATTCATCACCATCCCTTCGCTTTATTCTGTTATCGTTTGTCACTGATAAATTCAATTTAGTCGCCTTTACAATGTTGTCTCCACAAAAATAGAAATCTGGCAATGAAGTTTCTGTATTCTTAACTGTCTATCCGGAGAAATTAGTCCAAGTTCTTAAACTTGATCATGAAATAAACTTAAAAATGATGAAAATGAAGGCAGCTTGTAGGGTTACGAGTAACTTATCATCAGTTTTTGATCCTTTTAAAATAACAAAGTAAAGCAGCTATTCGTTTATTCCACCTATTCAAAGATTTATGCATAAAATTTTGTTTTACTTTTTCACTAAACGCTTTAAGTGAATAGTGCACTAAAATAGGTTTCGCAAGTAACGGTGAGTGTATTTGAGCTTTTAAACAGTAGATTCTTGTGCATTTATGTGCGTAGTATCATATTTTAAACTTCTGTTAAAGCGAATTCGAAGATAACTATGACATATTTTATCTAAGACAGTAGACACTATATTATTGAAACACCTGAGTAATTTTCTTGGGCTGCATAATCGCATTGTTAGGTAATTGGTCTGACTAGAAAAATGGTTGTGCATGTCATTGAAATAATATCAGCGAGAATTATTTTTTGTTGGAATGTCTTTGTTCTTTAAACGAATCTGAATAATGATTCGCTGTCTATCTACTTTGCAGAACTTTTCAAGCGTCTATCCAGCCACACAATGGTGTTAAGTAAGTAAATCATTTTGACAGTTTTGACGTTCGTGCTTAGTTACCGCAGATCTCATTCGAAAACGTGCAGAACACAATGATGGGGAGATATACTCCCTTGAAGAAGTGGCTTTACATCAACAAAATCTTGAAAGGTAAAACGTTTGTTACATAATTAAAAAAAACAAGGATTGAGCTTATTGAGAACTTGTGTAAAAGCCTTAGAATATTATATCTACAAAATAATCTCATTCCAAAAATCGGTATTGCTAATTACTTACTGATTTTTTGTTTCAGAAAATCTATCAAAGCTGAAAAAACTAGAATATTTGAATTTAGCTCTAAATAATATTGAAAAGGTGGAGAATTTAGAAGGTTGCGAATCCTTGAAAAAGCTAGATTTGACAGTAAATTTTATTGGGGACTTGTTTAGTATTGAATCTTTAGGTAATGTGCATTTTCTTGAAGAACTGTAAGTTAGCTGTAAAAACTTTGTTTAATTTTCTTCTTATATGTGTTGTAGTTATTTAACTGGAAATCCGTGCACAGAATATCCAGGGTATAGAGAATTTGTGATTGCTACGTTACCGCAATTAAAAGTAAAGATAGATTTTCTTTTTTTACATGTAAAGTTGCTAGATGGAGTGGAAATAACTAGATCGGAACGCATTATTGCATTGCAAAACTTGGAACGTATTCGTCCAATCATAGAAGAAAAACAAAGAGAGCACGGATTAAAAAGAGTAAGTGGGTGGTGAATTTTTATGATCAACTGATTATGAATTTCCCTACTACTTATTTAATACGAAGTTATTTCACAGAAATCTGAAAAGGTCGAAGCAGCACGAAGAAAAGAAAGATTCGCCAAGGCAAATACAGATTCCAGTTAGTAAGTTCGTAACATTTTATTCTAATGGTTTTTACCTAGTTTACGATATAAAGCATTTAATAGTTAGTTTAGGCATAAATTTAAGATTTTTTTGAGTCCCAATAACACTACAGTATAGCTAGATTTTGCAGATCCGGATCTAGTAGGGTTTTGGATTTCCACAGTTGTTATTCACACAGTACATGTGACTTACAAATTAGTGTCATAATAATATTAAGAAAAGGTTTTATCTTACCTGTTCCATCAGATAAATATAGTAGACTGATACATATGGTTGATTTGACGGTAGAAACGAATATGAAAAAATAAACCTTCCGGATGGCGAAATTCACCTAACCGACCTGGCTGAATATACTATTTTACCTAGGTTTATCTAATGTAAAACGATCTTACAATTTTAGATGTGAAACTTAATTTCATAGTACCAAAGATATAGAGGTTGACAGTTTACTTATAAATGTCCATAATTGTTTCTGCAATGAAGTAAGCCTGAACATATCGGAATGGAAGCAAATGGTCTGCATCTTTGTAGTCTGTTTTACTGTTTTGTAACATACTATCGTTATCAAAAGACACCTTGTTTACAATACATAAAAAATTGTATAAGATAGGTGATATTATTTTTAGTAGCGTAAGGTAGAAACCATATACATCACCTTGTTTTAGACGAATTCAAAGCAATATATTTTCCGCTTCAAATAATTATGAAAAACTGCATTGCTCATAAATGCCATTACGCTATTTGAGGATATCTTTTGAATAACTCTTATTTACCATGAAAATGTTTGAATTGTTTTATTGTATGATTTCTGTGTACTGTATTTTCAAAAACAAAATTTCATGGTGCTAAAATTTCCTTACTCTCCTTGTGCGGTGTTCCAAAATATTATTACGATCGTAATGCTTTTGTTTGTTGAACTCTACTTATCATATTCAGGTTTTCTATTTTAAAAAATCAACATTCTTTTGCAGTAACTGTTTACGTTTTACGATACTCATGGGCCTCATTGGTTCGACTATTTTGACAGGAGCTAATAGCAGTTGTATCCTTCAGACCGGTGTTATCTGCTGGGTTCTCTTTGATTTCTTATCTCCGTTTATAGCTTCATAAGTGCTTTGGTTAGTTTGAACAGACATCATTGTATTCTCCATTGATCATTCGTCCAAACGTTCTCCACCTAATATTACCCTAATAAATGCAAATATTGCAAGTAAAACAATTAGAACTGATAAAAGCAGCGATTTTAAACCAATCTACCGGAAATGCAATGACATGTACTAACAATATCTTCATCCTTTTTGGTTCAACACAATACTTTCGACTATAAACACAATCAGTCTGTTTTTCTTAACAAATGAAGACTTCTTGTGTATTGAGCGAACAATTGGTTTCAATAACTTCATCATCAGGCTCTACAGTTATAAGTCTATAATTATGATAATTTACAAATGCCAAAATAAGGCATGTATTAATGAATTTCACAATGTTGTGTTAAAAATGGTGAACGTTTGCATCTGTTGCGACGTATATACTTCGAAATTGTGTTATTTGCAAATTAAAAAGGTTATTTAAAAAAGTTCAGAATGATTTGGAGTGGAGTGTCCAGTCACAATCAGTAGAATAGTATTATGGCCAAAATGAAAATGCAAAAAAATTGTGTGAATAAAATGCATAGTAGAATTTCATCTTGTCAATTGAGATAATAATCATAATAGTAATAATAATAATGTTGTTGTGTGAATATAATATGTAACGCACAAATGCCGTGTTACGGCCGAGAGTGGGGAGAGTCCGCTCTCCCTCTCGAAATACTCTCACACGGCCACGTGTATAGAGCCTTTGCCAGGGAAGTCTTACTCATTGCCTTCTCGTGGCGGGGGTGTTGCTTACGAAAATGAATGACGAAAAGCGAATGTCCGGCGCTTTAACCGGATCCCAAACCAATGGTGCACATGGGCTCCAATATCCTGCGGGAATAAATGGCATATGAACCAGTCGTTGGTCACCGGCTACCATGGGACTGCATCTCCTTACGATGCTCCACTGCCTTGTGGGTTCGACCTTTAGGTCAAAGGCTAGGGGTGTGACCCCCTAAGATAACCACCTGCTTCGGTCTGGGCACCCGGACAGTATCTCAGCCCACACGCAAATGATGAACTCTCTATATCTATGGAAACTACTTTTATCGCTTCGAATAACAATCAAATTATTATTATTTACCACATTATTCACCCTCTTTTATACTTATACAGCGGCTCGTCTTTGGTGGAAATTCGACTGTATCTAAACGTTCTCGAGTCAGTGTCCGGTTGAAAATTGTATGTTACCACTGAATATGATTACTGAAGCAGTTTTTCTGAAACCACGTGCACCATTCAAACTGGCTTCCTTCAACGTTTGCACACTTATGCAGGTTGGACAACAGATAGGGCTGGCTATGCCTTTGGAAAGTCTTAATATCGACGTCTGTTGTCTATCCGAAACCCGTATTCAAGACTCTAGCGAAGTACTACAAATTTGCTCTTCGTCTGTCGCTTCGATAGGCGTGTTTTATGTGCGTTTATCCGGGGACCCTGTGGTAACCACGTCTGGTCTTGCTGGCGTTTGTGTCGCACTAAGCGCTAGAGCTGAGGCAGAACTAATCGATCGGGCCCCCATTAACAGTCAGTTACGTGCTGTTTGATTAGAAGTAAGAAGTCGGTGTGAGAAACAACATCTTTTCGTCACCTCCGCCTATGCTTCGACAGATCGCATCCCGGATGCAATCAAGGATGAGTTTTACCACCAGTTATCTGTTCTTCTCCAGAAAGTGCGTTCGACAGATATTGTAGTACTAGCCGGAGACTTGACTGCTCAGGTCGGGCGTCTAGGCACAGAAGAGAGTCGTTTATGTGGCCGTTGGGGACTTGTTGGTCACAGGACAGATAATGGGGACTGTCTACTGCAACTGTGCACAGACCACAACCTGTTTCTGGCTAGCACTAACTTCCGGCGCAATCATCGCCGATGTGCCACCTTGCACCTCTATCTCAGGCCTGGACTCAAATTGATCAAATAACGATCAGCTACTGCTGGCATGGCTGTGTACAAGACTGCCGCTCCTTTTGGAGTACCTATCTGGACTCTGATCATGCTCTGGTCTGTGCCAATTTCACTTTACTTTTCAGTGGCCAACGAAGTGACTGTCACCAAAGGATTGATGTCAGCAAGTTGGTCACAACTTCTGTTGCAAGTAAATATGGAACCGAGCTAGGTTACAGGCTAGCTACCATTCCGCCGAAAAGTGTAGTTGAGCATTGGTTGCAATTGCATTACGCCATGAAAATGGCGAGTAAAGTCGCATGTGTCTTCGAGAAAAGTTACGCCTATAAGCACTGGGTTTCTTCAGGCTCCTTGCAACTCATCGAAGCCCGTCGGTCTACTCCGGGTGACTGTGAGTTTGACCAGAAACGAAGGCTTTCACGTAAAGAAATCGGGCAAAGCTTGCGTAAGAACAGAGAAGCCTGGTGGTCGGAGCGTGCTAATGAGTTGGAAGCGGCAACTGCATCTGGTAACTTCCGGAGGCTCTTTCAACTCATCCGAGCCACTAGCGGCAAAAGGTCTGGTGTGAGCGAAACAATCTGTGAAGATGACGGGATGCCAATCGCTAACATCAAACGACGTCTTGGACGATAGTCAGAGTTTTTTTAGGGGTAGTTCAACTGGCCTGCTGCTCCAGCAACATCGGTCGAACTGTCCTGCCCTCCATGGCCGGTGAAGACTGTTCCACCAAATAAGGCGGAAGTCCGCAAGGGACTCCAACTCTTGAAGCACCACAAATCACCGGGCCCAGATGACTTACTTCCGGCCCATTTTAAAGATGTTTGTGACTTTCTGGTTAAGGAACTGTCTGAGTTGTTCACAAAGGTTTGGCAGTTAAAGAGTGTTCCAACATCATGGAATGAGTCGATAATCGTCTCTATCTTTAAAAAGGGTTCACGTTGTTCCTGTAACAACTATCGGGGGATAAGTCTACTTCCGATTGCGTCCAAGCTATTGGCTTCCGTCATACATCGTAGGTTGTTCATACCCGAGAAAGATTGACTGGCAAGGAGCAGTCTGGTTGTCATTCTTAACGAAGATGTATTGATCATATCTTCTTACTTACGCCTGTTAACCCTCGCGAAGGAGTATAGGCCGCACACCAGCATTCTCCATCCACCTCTGTCCTGGGCGATCCTTTCCAGCTTCGTCCAGTTGTTATTCATTCTTTTCATATCTGCTTCTATTTTCCGACGTAATGTGTTGTTTGGCCTTCCTCTTTCCCGCTTCCTTTCAGGATTCCAAGTTAGGGCTTGCCTCGTGATGTAGTTTGATGATTAGCGTAATGTATGTCCTATCCATTTCCATCGTCTTTTCCTAATTTCTTTAGCTGGAAACTGGTTTGTTCTCTCCCAAAGAAGGCTATTGCTGATGGTATCCGGTCAATGGATGCTGAGTATCTTACGTAGACAATTGTTTAGAAATACTTGTACCTTCTTGATGGTGGTTTTTATAGTTCTCCAAGTTTCAGCTCCGTACAGTAGAACTGCCTTGACGTTCGTAATGAAGATTCTCACTTTGATATTGGTTGAAAGTTGTTTTGAGTTCCATATGTTCTTTAACTGTAGGAATGCTGTCCTTGCTTTGCTAATCCTTGCCTTTACGTCTGCATCTGAACCTCCTTGTTCATCGATGATGCTTCCCAGGTATGTGAAGGATTCTACATTTTCAAGAGTTTCGCCATCAAGAGTGATTGGATTGTTGTTTTCCGCTTTGAATTTGAGGACTTTGGTTTTCCCTTTGTGTATACTGAGGCCTACTGATGCAGAGACTGCTGCTACATTGGCTGTCTTCATCTGCATCTGTTCGTGTGTATGCGATAAGAGGGCTAGGTCATCTGCGAAGTCCAAATCGTCTAATTGATTTTGAGCTGTCCATTGTATTCGTGTTTTCCTTCAGATGTCGAGGTCTTCATAAT